GGTCATAAAAAAAATGTAAAAATCAACTAATTCCAAGACGTAGTGTTGAAGGAAAAGTGAACCTTCTCTGAACATTTTGAATGTCTTTGACATTCGGTCTCCTGTCCATACAGATCAAATAACTCTAATCCTTTATTTTATCATGAATTTCAGCATTGAAACTGAAAGGCCAAACGAGACAATCATAGTGAATCATTTTGCCCACTGATTGGATAATCAGTTTCTGATTGGATTATCAAAACCAACAGACCAAATTATAAATAAATGGGACATCGTGTCCTATGTTTTTGCAATTCAGATTAAATTGTTGTGTTGACCTGGTTCCTCCTGGACACTGCTGTGATGCTGCAGGACACAGAGCAGAGACACTTGTCTTCCTCACCTCAAACTGCCCTGACCTCCTGACCCGACCTGACTAGTCCTGTTAAACTGCACTGAGACCTGTCATATGGTTTCAAGAAAATTCATACATGTTTTTGTTTGTTTTTTAATGATCATATACTTGTCATGGATTTAGCTGTCCATACTGGTTTTACAGAAGATCATGTGTTTATTATTCCCTTATGTTTTGTTTTCCAGGATCTCGGACACACAATGAGAGGACACTCAGAAAGAACCTAATACAGGCCTGCTGCAACATAGAATGTACCCTGGAAATGCTGGACCTGATCTGCTACCCAGAGAAGGCGCAGCAGCTGCAGCCTAAGCAGCCAAAGCAGCCAGTGCAGCCAGAAGAGCAAGAGCAGTCGCAGCCAGTGCAGCCAGAGCAGCTGCAGCAGTCGCAGTTAGAGCAGCCAGTGCAGCCAGTGCAGCCAGTGCAGCCAGTGCAGCCAGTGCAGCTGCAGCAGTCACAGCCAGAGAGCTGGGGAACTCCATGCTAGAACGGTCTTAGCATGATAAAAAGATATAGGAGCATTGATTTTCTCTTTTACGCTCATAGTTCACTTTTAATCCTAAAGTTATACTAGGTAACTTTTCTAGTGAGTGGGCTGCTGGCTCCCGTTTGTCTTAATGAAGATGTTAAAATTCAAAGTAAAACACTCAACCAGTTAAGTGAATCTTGCATTCTTGGAAAGGTGTCTTGCCCATGGACACAACAAGAGCACATGTTAAATGCAAGTTTAATGTCATATGGAACACATCTGGAAAACTGACATTGTTCACCTTTAAATAAAACTGGACTATTGTTTTAAGTGATATGATTCATTCTTGTTATAACGTTTCCTCATCAATAGCATACACAAGTTGTGTTTTGTCATTCTCACATGTTTAGTTCATGAATCCTGCATATTTAGGCTGAGTTCTTCCACCTTGTGATGTCATGTGGTAATACAGGAAGTGCTCTAATGTGATTTTAAACTCAGTACACCTTCACTAGAATCATCTGGAAATGCCAGTATTTACTGAACTAAAAGTAAAACATTACTGTTAACCTGAAAACTACAACTTCATGACATCACAAGGTGGTACAGAGCATGTTGAGCTTTGGAGATGTAGACAGACTAATAATAAACAGTTACTCAAAAATGTGAGATTGAAACAAAGCACATCTCCAGGTCTATTTTTGAGGACGTAACATCATTATAACACAGCTAAAAGCTCACAAGGGTCATTTTTTGTGTAATATTGCACCTTTTCTGAATAAAACATGCATTAGATTGCTGGTAGTGCCATAAGCTCCAGTCCAAAAGATACAAGAAACACTGTTAAACAAATAATTACAACAGAGTGAAAAGATTACCACCTCCCATATATTTCTAAAATTACCGTATTTTTTGGACTATAAATACACTTAAAATCCTTAAATTTATTCAAAAATCGACAGAGTCTAATGATTTTATGATTTTATGTGGTACACAATGCTTAAAATCTGTCAAAATGTTTTAGTACGACAACTACAAAGCCACACCTTTTGAGCCACACCTTGGAGCATTACGACTACTGTAGTCAGGAGTATTGTGGAGTTGGGGCCTGGCTCCACTGCACGTGTCAGTGTTTACACATCAAAGCGCCAAAAAATAGGAGGGATCCTATTTTTCTGAAATCTACCCGTGCAGGACGTGCTGCTCCATATGCGCGCCTAGCACATGCAGTGGAGCCGCCCTCATTCACTTTCAATGCATTCTAAAAATTACACATCCAAAAGTTGCAGATTTACACTCGTGTAGGGCGAATACATGCGGAGTTGTGCCAGGCAATTTGTCAGACTGAAGCTGACTGCATCAGTGCACAAGGAGCGAGCTGTTTTTTTCAGCACTTATAGTTTATGCAGATTAGCCATGTGGTTTTAAGTTTTGTTTCTGTAAAACATAAACAAATGTGCACAAATCTGCATTAAACACATTATTACTCAATATATATTTGAGTCCTCCTCGTAGGAAATAAAAATCCAAACTTAAATTATTCACCCACATTCACATTCATAATCCACATTCACCTAGACAGAGAGGCAACGCCGGGTGAATTACACCACGATCTGCCAATGGATAATGGACGCCTGGACTAAAGGATCAGTCTCAAGTGTTGTACATTTGTTTCACTTAATGCGTCTTATAATTCAGTGCACCTTATGTATGAAAATAGATGAGAGAATTCAACATTATTGATATTATACCTTATTGTTCAAAAAATACAGTATTATAGTTAAAGTTTTGTTCATATATTTGAGCAACATTTGTCTTGCTCCAGTACAGATAATAGCCTGTGTCAAAAAACTGGAATATAATGAAAAAGTGTAATTTCCTTTTTGATTTTATGACTTTAAAGAGTAAACATAACGCAGATGAGAGAATAAAGTAACACGGCCCATTAAAGGTGCATTGTGTAACAATTTGAGGGTCCATCAAATACTTTTCTCCATGGAGATGTTATTACTCTGTCAGAAATGTCTCACACTATGGCATTAAACCTTTCTTTCTTCATGGAGAAGTCAGTCAGAATGTCTGTTCTTCTCAGTATTTTTGAGCTATGAAACCACCTGTAACTTCTTTTGAGATATGTAATGTTAAAACTTTTTCTTTTTAAAATACATGTTTAATAATAGTTTTGCTTAAACATTTAATCCAGAACAAGCAGAATATAAAATAATAACAACATTTTAAATAAATAATGTCTTTATAGTAATCTGTAGCTGGCGTGCAGCTCTAATACATACAGAAGATGATATTTTAGTCAGGAACCTGTAGCACGACATTACGCAGCTCTGACTTGAACACACCACAGCACCAATGTTTTTGAGGTGACTTTTAAAATGTATTCCCTTCCAGATTACAGATTACATACCCAAAAATGTAGTTTGTAACGGAATCCATTAAATTACTTAAAGTTAGTAACGTAATCTGAATACTTTGGATTTCTTGATATTGCCATGCTTTTTAAAACTACACATCCTGAAAATTCATGTTTGTTTTCTTCAAATTGTCTGTGTTGAGCCCAAGTCTCCATGAAGAGACTTTTGTTTCCTGTAGAGAAGCAAAGATGAGGAAATCTTAACATGAGATGTTTTATGTGCTAAAAGACAATAAAAAGTCCAGTCTTTCCTTAAGCATATTACAGATATTATTGATAGAGAAATGACAATCCAACACCTACTGTTAGGTGTTATATAGTTTAGACCTGGTTTTACTCCTGGTTTAGTCCCGGTTAGTCCTGCTTTTAGTCCTGATTTAGTCCTAGTTCAGTCCTGATTTAGTCCTGGTTTAGCCCAAAATGTGAAAACAGGAAAATACCGCCATGTAATTCATTTATTTCAACAGAGTAACTGTAATCCAATTACCACTCATTGAAACAGTAACTGTAACTGAATACAGTTACTCATAATTTGTACTCTGATTACGTAATGCCGGTACATGTGTGGCGAGCGGGGTATGTGGGAGGGGTGTGTAAGAGAACCCCAAAATAATATAATTAACATAAAACCAACAACGCCACTGGGCCTAGCCCACAAACTAAAACTAAATTTACTAAACTAAAAAGGCTCACAGGTTCGTTAATTGACAGAGACAAGTGACTTACAAAACATGAAGTAATTTATTATTGCCATAATTCATTTGTTTCCTTTTGTTAGATTATCTTTAAGAGTAGACTATTCACTGTTCACATAACTGCCGATTAAAACAGTCACAAAAGCAGCTGTACGGTGATTTTGTCCTTAAAATATAAAACACAGTAAAACAAAGCAGCAGCTCGTTCACAGGGCCACCGCTCCACCAGATGACGTGCCGAAGACCACCCTGGACCCACAAAACACACGCTTCTACATCCACGAGGCTTGACGCCGAGCGGCCGGGGCATCTGACAGCAACACCGACCCAACCGTGGACAGCGGCGAACAGTGGCGCTTGTGGCAATCAACAGCAAATACAAACAGGAGCTTTACTCACGAGCCATAACTTCAATCGTTCACATCGGGACTCTAGGAGCGGTGGCACTACAATAATGCCACACATTAAATTATATAATTGCAATTGTAATTAGAGAACAGCGGTTGTTTACCTGCGCTGAGGTCAGAGAACGAGACGCTATGGGGAGTGCCCTTTTATAAATCCAGGCGCCACCTGGTGGCAGCAGGCGGGCACTGCTACACATGTAATCCGTTACTCCCCAACACTGCACATCACAGACTATCCACCGCCGTCCACCGCCACAGACAAGACTGGATTTTCTCTACCACCTAGAAGCGAAGGAGACGAGAATCAGCCACAAAAGAGGAAGAATGGAAGTGCGTGAGGCCAGAGTGGAACCTTCTACTGACTGAAGCTGACACAAATGACAATGCAAATGGAGCTCCTAAGTGGCAGAACCAGAGAATAAGAATAAGAAAGAGCCCACAAGATGACAAGATGTTACAAATAAACCCAGTTAGGTCAGGAAATCAAGTCTCCAAAACATCACAGAAAGCAATGGTAATATTTGCAGACGCGCTCGATAAATTCTTACACAACAGAGACGAATCCTGTTTACTCGGCCTATATTTAGTTTTATAAAGAGCAGAGTACAAATCCACTGGCTTCAGTCATTTCATATCCTTATTGCTGATCTGCTCTTGCTGTTTAACAGGTGAGGACTCAAGTTTAACTCTACTAGTGTTATTGTTATTGTTATTATATGTGCTGAGGTCTAATACAGTATGTTGATGCACATTTTTATCCTGATTTTGACTTTTAAAATAACGTTAAAATCAAATAACTGCCAGTGATGGGAAGAATACTTTCAAAATGTATTAGTTACAGAAATACTTGCAATAACATGTATTTTGTAACATATTCAAATTCACATTAAGCTGCAATTTAAAGTCTACAAAGCAACATAGTATTAAAACTGGTTTATTCTTTGCTGCGCTCATCTGCGGACTATAAGGTGCACCGGATTATAAGGCGCATTAAGCGAAACAAACAGACGACACTTGAGACTGATCATTTAGTCCAGGCATTCACCACCCTGAGTTACCCGTCGATTTGAGCTTCCGAGGCAGAAGTGGAGTAACAAGTCACATTTTTAAAGTGCATTGGTTTTATTGTATGTTTGGACCAGCTGAGTTAGATTTGCGGCAGAATATCCATATTAGATGATTGAATAGTTTGGATTCAATATTTGATTTTATCGCTCTCATTTTCATTACATTGTATTTTATTTTATTTTGTTTCCATGTGAAGAAAACTTTGTAACTTTGTTAGAAAAGGTGCTGTATAAATAAAATATTCTTATATTATAAAAGGAAATTCACACTGTGGCCTATATTTATTAAATCTAAAGCTTTCAGTGTTTCCAGTCATTTCTTTCTCTTCTATAGTGGGAGTCTTATTTGATAGAATATAGGCCTGTCGAAAAGAGTGCCTCTACTGAAATATATATAAATGAGTGAATAATGGTGATTCTATGGTGGGAGTATTATTTGATGGATAAATTGTCCTGTCAACATGTGTCCCCTTTAGTCAGAGCCCTACTGGAGCAGAATACGACTGTCCAAATGTACTACCCGTGAGTTGAAATTGTACATAACTAAGGTATTGTTACAAAAAGGCTCAGGGTTCAAACAAGAGGGAGTTTAAAAAGAGCACAAAAACAGATAATTATTTAAAAACAAGGTGGTAACAAAGGTGTGCCCGCACGGTTGAGAGGAGAGAGGAGAAAGGACGGTGTCCAGCAACCAGCTTTTAAAGATGGCCACACCCACAATCAGGTGCAACTCGTTGGGTTGGTCCTCCCACTCTGGAATCTGGAAGGGAGGGGAGAGAGTCAACAGCAGCAGCACACACATGCACCCACAAAATATAGACCCAAGCTGGAGTCGTAACAGGTGTAGGCGAGTTTCAGCTGACGTCATTGTTATTAAAAGCCCGCGTTGAATGCTGGGAAATATTTTGGTCGGAGGCAAGAAACACGATAGCGGTCAAACACAGTGCGTAACCTCGCGTATTTATCCCCGATAATGGTAAATTCCTGCTGCATTATCGGATGCACAAATAGAAGCATGAAAGAAGGAAAATGTCTTTTTCGTATTCCGTTTCCATCGGTCTGAACACCCTTTTCAGTAGTTTGTTCAAGCTGGTTTGTGGCTCTGAGTTTTCATGAGAAATTGTGGAAATCGGTTCAAGGTCAGTAAACCAGAATTAATACATAAGGAGCACAAGATTATATATTTCACTGTTGATTTTTGAGGAAACTGAAGGATTTTAAGTGGGCCTTATAGTCCGAAAAATATGGTATCTGATTATTATCTTTTCTTTTTTTACTGTGCAGTTTGGGGCCTAAATTGCAAAAAAAAAGTACAGCAATGTATTACTTTAATATTTAAAAAGTAACCATTTTCTGAAATAGAAATACAGGAAAACATTTACTTAAGTTCTGAATACATAATTTAGATTTTGATTATTCAGTAACTTCCCAACACTGAGAACTGGTAAAGCTGGTAATTATTCATTTAAGATTCTGACGTGTCTTGGACCTCAGTTTGTTATAGTTAAACCTTGTTTAGCCTGAGGTTTCAGTCCATATAATCTGTGTACAATCATGTTGTTACTTATTTGTTTTTTTCTTTTATTGCACTAGAGTTGAGATCGTCCATGGCAGTATCATGGCTTCAGCGTGCCTGCCTCTTGATGGCTCTACTGGTTCTGGTTGGAGGTGAACCACAGACCTTGTGTGGGGCTGAACTGGTGGACGCTATTCAGTTTGTCTGTGGAGAGCGAGGGTTTCTGTACAGCAGACAAAGAAGTAGGTCAATGGAAACTCGACTTCAAATAAAACATCTAATATAAAAGTTAAGTGGACAAAAAAATTGTTAATATGATTTATTTGTCTAATTGTTATTATATTTTAAACTTTTTAGACTTGGTCATAAAAAAAATGTAAAAATCAACTAATTCCAAGGCGTAGTGTTGAAGGAAAGTGAACCTTCTCTGAACATTTTGAATGTCTTTGACATTCGGTCTCCTGTCCATACAGATCAAATAACTCTAATCCTTTATTTTATCATGAATTTCAGCATTGAAACTGAAAGGCCAAACAAGACAATCATAGTGAATCATTTTGCCCACTGATTGGATAATCAGTTTCTGATTGGATTATCAAAACCAACAGACCAAATTATAAATAAATGGGACATCGTGTCCTATGTTTTTGCAATTCAGATTAAATTGTTGTGTTGACCTGGTTCCTCCTGGACACTGCTGTGATGCTGCAGGACACAGAGCAGAGACACTTGTCTTCCTCACCTCAAACTGCCCTGACCTCCTGACCCGACCTGACTAGTCCTGTTAAACTGCACTGAGACCTGTCATATGGTTTCAAGAAAATTAGTATATGTTTTTTTTTTTGTTTGTTTGTTTGTTTTTTAATGATCATATACTTGTCATGGACTTAGCTGTCCATACTGGTTTTACAGAAGATCATGTGTTTATTATTCCCTCATGTTTTGTTTTTCCAGCAACTCAGACATTCAATGAGAGGAGACAAGCATGGAACAATCTAGTAGAGACATGCTGCCACAGAGAATGTTCCCTGGAAATACTGGAGAAGTTCTGCCACCGAGAGAAGCCGCAGCAGCCGCAGCAGCCGCAGCAGCCGCAGCAGCCGCAGCAGCCGCAGCAGTCTCCAGAGAGTCAGGGACCTCCATGCTAGAACGGTCTTAGCATGAAGTGATACAAAGATATAGGAGCATTGATTTTCTCTTTTATGCTCATAGTTCCCTTTTAATCCTAAAGTTATACTATGTCACTTTTCTAGTGATTGGGCTGCTACCCATTTGTCTTAATGAAGATGTTAAAAAGGTGTCTTGCCCATGGACACAACAAGAGCACATGTTAAATCCAAGTTTAATATCATTCTATGGAACACATCTGGAAAAATTACATTGATTTACCTTTAAATAAAACTGAACTATTGATTTAAGTGATATTATTCATTCTTGTTATGTTATAACGTTTCCTCATCAGTAGCATACACAAGTTGTGTTTTGTCATTCTCACGTTTAGTTCACGAATCCTGCATATTTAGGCTGAGTTCTTCCACCTTGTGATGTCATGTGGTAATACAGGAAGTGCTCTACTGTGATTTTAAACTCAGTACACCTTCACTAGAATCATTTGGAATTGCCAGTATTTACTGAACTAAAAGTAAAATGTTACTGTTAATCTGAAAACTACAACTTCATGACATCACAAGGTGGAACAGAGCATGTTGAGCTTTGGAGATGCAGACAGACTAATAATAAACAGTTACTCAAAAATGTGTGTGAATGAAACAAAACACATCTCCAGGTCTGTATTTGGACTATAAGACGCACTTAAAATCCTTAAATTTTCTCAAAAATCGACAATGTGCCTTATAATTCGGTGCACCTTATGTATTAATTCTGGTTGTGTTTACTGACCTCGAACCGATTTTATGTGGTACACGGCGCTCAAAAATCTGTCAAAATGTTTTAGTACGACTTTGGTAATATGAAGCCACATCGCTTGATGGACTGTCGGAGCATTACGACTACTGTAGTCAGGAGCCTTGTGGAGTTGGGGCCTGGCTCCACTGCACGTGTCAGTGTTTACACATTAAAGCATCAAAAAATAGGAGGGATCCTATTTTCTGAAATCTACCCCTGCAGGACGTGCTGCTCCATATGCGCGCCTAGCGCATGCAGTGGAGCCGCCCTCATTCACTTTCAATGCATTTCTAAAAATTACACGTCCAAAAGTTGCAGTTTTTACCCTCGTGTAGGGCGAATACGCGCCAGGCGTATGGAGTTAGGCCCTTAGTCCAACAGAAGCTGACTGCATCAGTGCACAAGGAGTGAGCTGTTTTTTTCAGCACTTATAGTTTATGCAAATGAGCCATGTGGTTTTAAGTTTTGTTTCTGTAAAACGTATGATATACAAATGTGCACAAAGCTGCATTAAACACATTATTACTCAATGTATATTTCAGTCATCCTCATAGCAAATAAAAAATAAAATAAAAAACTTAAATTATTCACCCACATTCACATTCATAATCCACATTCACCAAGACAGAGAGACAACACCGGATGAATTACACCACGATCTGCCGATAGATCTTGGACTCCTGAGCTAAGGATCAGTATCAAGTGTTGTACATTTGTTTCGCTTAATGCACCTTATAATCCAGTTCAACTTATGTATGAAAATAGAGGAGAGAATTCAACATTATTGATATTGCGCCTTATAATCCGAAAAATACAGTATTATACAGTTGCCGTACCCTTCTGTTGATATATTTGAGCAACATTTGTCTTGCTCCAGTA